CATCAAACACACTCCATACGTAATTATTTTAGTCGTATATCTGTTAATGAATTTATATTTTCACAAAATATCTTAAATAATTCCTAAAGTATTCACGTGAGTTCTAAATGTAACTCCACATAATCTATGTTATATGCAAAGATTTTTAATTAATTTACTAACGTTTCTGAAAGGAAATTTTAAAATATCTTTGCATGTTATTTAACGCGGTATTTTTTTATATATTATAATGTAATGAAATATTTATCAGGCCAAAACATTCACTGAACTTAGTCACAATTTTCGCACTATTATCAGTCGTAATTAATATATTGTTACAACAGTTGCTATTTATGAAGGTGCAAAATGGCGGTATTTCCTGAGAGAGCATTGGTGCATTGTATCTCGCATTTTAAACGCAAGCTTAAATGTGAATAAACCCATCTTTGTCCGAGAATATCAGTGTTAGCTGTGGCGTATGTGGTGGACTAACGTAAACTTGACAATTGCCGTCCAACGGCCCCGGCTTTTCTAAAGGATGCAAGGCTCTGTACCCCAACGTGAAGCACTGTTTGACCCTTTTAGTGATCATGCCAGTTCTCGGCAACAACTGAACTAAAACGTACACGTACGTACGTTGGAGACAGAGCGTATGTCTGGTCTAAGTCTCATAAATATTTTTAAAGATAGGGTAGAAAAGCCAAGTAGACAACTTTGCATACCAACGAAACAGACGTCTGGCATTTGTTTTTTTTTCTTTCTGATTTTTTTTTAATTTAAAATAATTTACTGAATACGGGAGATTTGTTGCTAAACATCAGTTTGAAGGACGCAAAATAACAAATATGTGCTGCAAAAAAATCAAATATAAATATAAAAAAAGTTTTATGGTAGATATATAACGTACTTGTTCATTTTACATATTTTAAAATTAATAAAAAGAGCTTGAAATCATCACCAATATGTTGTCAATATAGCCTCTAGATAGTCACGAAATGCCAAGATATCGCTTCCTTTTTCAAAAATTTTCTCGGGGGTGCATGCCCCCGAACCCCCCTAGTTAAGGAGTACATATCAAAATAGCTCAGTTACGCCCCTGGCAACACGACCATAACATAACATATATTTTATTCAACATAAAATTGTAGACATACAATTAATAGTCATTCAGATACTGTGAGGTGTAAAGTGTTATAAGTTACAGTTAGTCGAGAAGTATTGTTGGCGAGTATTAACAATTGCTATGACGTATCTAACAAAGTTTGCATAAAATACATATAAGAAACAATACTTAAACAAGTTGTTGTCAAGTATAAACAAAGGTCAAGAGTTCGCATAAAAATACTTATAAAATATATATATTTAAGAGACAAAGAAACAAAGTAGAAAGTTATTTGTTAAAGTTACATTATATCACTATCCACAAATCAAACGGCAATTATAATATTTCTAAGATGACATAACCGTTATATGTGTACAAAGCATGGTTGTCGTAGTCATCTCCCTTTTACCAGTAATCATAAGGAAAAAAAAAGAGTATTATTGGATATTAAAAGGTTAATCCTTTCTTTAAATGCATAATACAGATAACTTGCCAGATTATTGTTTTGATATTTGTGCTTATCATTAGTGTTTCGAATTTCTGCATTGTAGGCCATCTACGTAAGTTGTAATATTTTGGGCATATTAATATGAAATGATATTCTGTTTCGGACAATTTCGACATTTTCTGTTTTCTCTTGGAATATTATCGTGCCTTCCTTTTTCTATTTCCAGATTTTGAGCTGACAGTCTAAATTTGGTGAAAATAATCCTATGGCTATCTTTATGTATAACGTTTAAATACTTTTTACACTGAAATTCGTGTTAAAAATGACTGTAAGAGGAATCTGTTGGAATTATTAATGTTTGCATAAATACCAAATTTGTTTGTAGATATCTAAAATTCTTTGTTTTATGACACATACATTTATATTTAAAATATTTTGTTGTAGCCAGACGTTAGACATACCTATTTGATTCAGTTTATCTTTTATTTGATACGCTCAGTTTCTTTCTCTGTATGATAGTTCATTATCTGCATCTTTTTTAAGCATGTTATACATTGTTTTAAGAATTGAGTTATCACTCTTTAGGTAAATAGTCTGTATGAATGTACTACAAAATCATAAACATTCGTGGGGCAATACTTTTTGTGATTTACGGGGATATGTCAAGCCAAATAATATCCAACGAAAATTTATTTTGTTTCCATTACATTATTTGCATTTAAACTTTTTGCAAAATTGATCAACAAATTGAAGAATTTACGAAAATGTCCTTTTTAATAAAACCACGATACTTCATGACCACTAAATTACGTGAATTTACAGTAATCAGTTATCTCCTCTGCTACCATTTTAACATCTTAGTAGCCTAGTAGGGAAGCACTCCTTGTTTGTTCCTCTCAAAACCTGTTCAAAACCTGAATGTTCACAGTACAATAAAGTAAAGTACTAATTGACACAAGGCCTCCAACTATACGGTAAACCTGTTGATCTGTTGAACTTTTTTAATGAGCTGATTTAACACGCAACAATGCATTTGTTAACTGTAACAACCCGGGTGTGAACGATACCCCCCCCCCCCCCCCGACGCAAAGTCACATGGGTAACAATGATCGGTGCACAAACACAAACACACCCACAAGTAAAACACATTCATCTGCAATCATATGTTAGATATTATTTCTTGAATATTCTACCATATTCCATCATATTTTAAATTCTTTATCTTAATAAGACAATTTTTCATTGAAATTTATTCCATTACACCCGTAACTAAAATCTTACAACAGCGTATGAAATTAAAACTTCACTCATATAATTACGCCAAAATAAGGTCATTTTAACGCGGTTTAGCGGTTTATTGATAAAATGCTCTAAAAAACGCCATTGTATAGCACGCGACTTCTCTGGCACCCCTATGCCAGATGAATTTTCCGGGATGGGTAAAACTAACGGAAACGCCAGTCTGATATGCAAGAAAAATAATATCTGTCATATAAACCTCCTTCGAATGATTATTCTTAAAGTTTTAGGGTTAGCACCAATCCGAATTTGAAATTGTCATAAATCATGTCTTTAACCATATCTTTCAATTAAAAATATATATCGTTCTTAAATATCTTATATAAGAATATGTATGTTAATAATATTCAATTATTATCGAGAGTTGACCGCAAAACTGATGTAAGTCCTTTTTTAATTCATGCACAAGATACTGCAGTTTTGCGGTCTGCCATCGATGCCTTTTGTGCTGTTAAAAATAATTATGAACATACAATGTAGCTTACATGTTATCAGTTATACAATTTTTCCGGCATTGAATAAAATTAATACTGACTGTATTTAAATTGTCCTGACTTGATCCCAGTAATACGTGCATTGCGTATACTTACCGGTGACAAGACTGTAAAATGAATTTTTGCATATTAATTAGGTCACCCCAGTTGAGTTGTTTTTACAACTTGCAAAATTATTAAGCTATGGAAATAGTCCGAATCAAATGGGGTGTCACAGCACTTTGATACATGTAGTGTGCCTATGTAAATTTTGATCCACCCTATCTGTACTCGTATATAAAGATTCCTGGTGTTTTCTTTCTTCTCTCTTGCCCATTGGCATGTGCTTGTCGCGCAGAAGCACAGAGCATCATCGGCGGAAGATTTGATGAACGGCGAAAATAAGCAAAGATTTAAACTTGTAAATTGCTGTGGCTTAGCTGCCAAAGTTATAAAATCTGAAGCCGATCGAGGGAGTGTCCGTGTAAAGCAAGCGGGGACGATGAGGAAGAATACTAGGGTGCGTCCCTAGTACGCAATAAAGGTTCGAAAGGCAAGTCCTTGCTCAGGACTGCCTCACCTTTTCATATTGTTTCGAGTAACTATATATTAAGTAGTCTGGATTACCTGCCCTTTTCTCTCCGTTCTATTGAAGGGAGAGAAAAAAAGGGCAGGTAATCCAGACTAATATTTTGCTAATACCTTGTGAATATTATAGGCAAGGAGGTAAATTTTCATAAATTTGTGCTTCAAAATTAATTCTTTCATGGCATGACTAATGACATGCCCGGGGTATGTACACGACTGCGAAAGCTTTTTTGTGTCCTACTGATGGAATGACCCTCATTAAACAAAAACTACTTAACTCGACTCTTTTATATTGTACCCCCATCTTTGGACAAAGATGACAATTTTACACGACTATTCTATACACTGTCATAGCAACACGACAGCATCACTTTGTGCTTAACATTTTGATAGATCTAAGTCTGACATAAGACAGATAAATCTGACATTAGACAGCTCAAATTCAAATTTTAAACAGAGATTATTATTGCATGTATTTTCTTGAAACGTTACTTTGATTAATATCTTAAAACTTTAAATGTATGTCTGCAACATGTTTGGCTTTAGCTTTATCTAGTACTGCGTAACCAAAGTAACCATATTTAGTACTGCGTACTATATTCACGAATTCGAAAACCTCGCTAAACGCCGTTTTCCGGTACTTTCTGTACATAGCTCTGGGGAATTCACCTAATGGAGTGTAATAACAAACTCTATATGTTTTTGGCCTTTTTTAATCAAAGTGAAATAAAACAGTTATTTCTTTGTAAGAAAATAATTCAATATTAATGTATGAATAATTCCATACAAAAAATAAAGTAAATACACAAGTTTACGCAGAAAATGTCTCTATTTATTATGGAAGATTCAACTATGACTGTTTTAATTTAATTGATTTTCTTTATAAAAAAATATTTTTTTGATACAATTGTAATACTGCAGTAGATATCAATGGAATGTTCATAATTTTCAAACACATTAACTTTTTTCACCTTAAAAGGAAAAATAATAATACAAAAATAGAAATATCATGTAACTTTGTTATGTACTTCATTTGGCGTAATTCCTCCAGAGCTAAATCCGTAACGTACCGGAAAACGGTGTTTAGCTAATTTTTTCGAAAAGGTCAATAGTCGTGTTCAGCCTAAGGTATTTTGAAACGTGAAGAATGGGAAATAGTATGTCTGGAAAACAACAAAATCAATGACTGCGAAAAAAATACTTTTCTTATTTGCTTTCATGCGGGTATGTAAATTTTATTAAACAACACCACACTTTGATTTATTATTTTGTTACATACCCAACTATCCTCAATTTTCTCAGACGTGACATCATTTTGAAACAGAAAATATACCGATGACATTTCTATTTATAGATTTCAACAAAAGATGAAGAAATGACTGGATTGACGTCAGTACTGTTTATGTACGAGACGGGTACACACGTAACTTCTTTGTATTGACATTCAACAGGTGAGTTTAATTTAATTTTCTACACTAAATTTTTGTCAGTGACAGTACAGTTAGGCTACATGTAGTAATGAATAGAAATTTGGTTAGAAAGACATTTTTCATAGAAAAAATATCTACAAAAAATATTAGAAAGTGTTCAAAAGAGAGCAGTTAGATTTATAAAATCAAATTATAACTATGAACATGGTAGGCTACTATGTCAACACTTTTGAAAGAACTAAATTTACCATCCCTTAAGGATCAAAGACAACAAAATAGACTCATATTAATGAATAAAGGTGTAAACAAACAAGCACATATAAATATAAACATTTTACAACATAGTAAAAGATCTACCAAGAACCAACATAGTCAACATTTCCTACGTATCCAGTCGCGTACTGATGTGTTAAAGTATTGACCTTTTCCAAAACCTAGCTAAACACCGGTTTCCGGTACGTTACGGATTTAGCTCTGGGGAATTACACCAAATGAAGTACATAACACAGTTACATGATATTTCTATTTTTCGTGTATGAAAATCAATAAAATTTAAACAGACGTAGTGGAATCTTCCATAATAAATTAGGATATTTTCTGCGTAAACTTGTGTATTTACTTTATTTTTTGTATGGAATTATTCATACAATGATTTTTAATTATTTTCTTATAAAGAAATAACTGTTTTATTTCAATTTAATTTTAAAAAAAGGCCGAAATCATTGAGTTCGCTATTACACTCCATTCAATGAATTACCCAGAGCTATGTACAGAAAGTACCAGAAAACGGCGTTTAGCTAGGTTTTCGAATTCGTGAATAGTTTTTTCCCAAATACTGTGAAAGAATGGAACTCTTTACCTCCAGACATTTTAAATAATAATGAAAACACCCTTAAGGACACATCCAGTTCATTCCCAAAAATCATTAGAGAGGGTATCATGTTGCCCTAAGCCGCTTGATAATTGCAAAGGCCCGTGTAAACAATGTCTATGACGTCACACCTTATACAGATCAAGATCAAGCTAGAACTTGTTCAAACTATACTGGGAGTGGGATCCTTCATATTTACCGGACAATCAGTTTACCGGACAGAATCTATTCTGTCGTGAATAGTGCTTTATTTTTGTTCCAATACAAAAATCATTGCACACATACTTTCCCTTTCTAACTAAATAACAACAAAACCACTCTCATGTAAATAGATCTATTAATTCTTCATTTACTTACATGCCAGACTTTTGTTTACTATGTTATTGCATGACCTACATGTAGTCATGTTGGGGAATAATCATTTCTGGGCCTGCCCAAATATTGAGGCCCTAATGGGTTATTTTTTTAGATAGTTTCTCCTTTTACATTTCTCTGCATTATCTCAGCAGACAATCATTATATATTTTAATGATAAGACATATATTTAAATTTTGTCCAAATGGTATTTCTTTGTTGTCTTTCACAAAGATATGAAAATAGAAAAAAAACATTTATAAGGAAACTGATTTTTCAAACCAAGGAAGGAAACTCAACATGAAATGTAAATAAAATGAATTTTCTGGCATTTACAGGCTTCATGTTGACCAAAAGGAAAATGTATGACAAAGAACAGAAGTCCAATTGAAAATCAAAATGTTTTGATACATTGGATCAATAGGTTAATTGAGTTATAATGATAGTGTTATTTCCATTACACCCCATATATAGACCCTTTGTAACAAACATGTCTGCCGTGTGTATTTTTAGTGACATCTTGGGTTTTTGTACAATATCTTAACCTTGCCATTCAACAGTCGTAGTTCCCTTGCTGATTATTTAAAGATTAATTCAATTCAAAACTTCAAAATATTTTGAAATACAATGTCTAGTAAATTGAATTGTCTTAACGATTTTTGTCTCTTATAATGCCCTACTTTATTGAAGACACATTTTCAGGGTCAAAATGTTTAATTTTGTGTTTACAAAATTAAAAAATATCATCACAGTCTATCCTGCCATTACTAGGTACAGGTGAGTATGTTCTTATTTGTTGAAGATCAAAGTTAAAGCAATAATATTTATCAATTGTCGGGGGTCTATCTATGTGTCAGAGTTTTCTCTCAACCAGTTCTCTAATTTCTGTCTAACTATTACTTTATATGCATGAATTTTAACTTTTTATATTCATATGTAAGAATCAGAGAGACTGATTAGTTTTGTGTGAATGAACGTGTTTGTCCTGTTTCAGATCTTTTTGGAGGGTAATTATTCCTAAATTTTTTTGGTATGGTGAACATGTTCTAAAATGTGCTCTTGTAGCTTTAAGTTAAAATTTTGATGAGTTCTTTGTCTGTGTGATATTAATTTATTTATCTGGAAGAAAATACATTTGCCAGTTTTTCTCCAACCTACCAGTTGCCTTGAAATCAGCGTGGAGAAGTTCGATGTAATTGTTAGGCTATTTATTTCTCATATACGATGTAAACATGTATTATGCTGTCATCTGGAAAGGTGTAAACTTGTCCTTCTGTATATAATCTGAGAAATCATTTCTATAACATAAATAAGGAATAGTATAATACCCAAGACCTTGCCATGCGGGGCACCTGAGAGGTTGCATTTTTTTGATATCCTCAATATTTAACATCAGTCTGGGTTTTATGTTTAAGGAAGTCTTCTGTCAATTTTAGAACATAACATGTGATACCATAGTAATTTGACTTATATATTTTAAATGTTCATGTGATACCTTATCAAATGCTTTTAAGAAATCCATTTCATGTATAACATTTACATCTGTCTGAGTGTTTTGGTTATGAAACCTACCAATATTTTTGATATATTAAGATAATAGCTGAGTTTGACTTGAACAAGATCATTTAAAGCCATGTTGTAAATTATAATTCAAATAGAAGTAATTATTTTTAAGAAATGTTGCTAGAACTATTGATTTACAAGATTTTATGCCAGTATTAATGAGAGTATACGGACATTTTGAATGCCCCATTTTTAGCAAGGGCAGACAGATGGGTCTATAGTATAATGGTATCGTGATAATCACCCTGTATTAAAAACAGGGCATTTGCTGCCAAGATTCCAATCTGATGGTATTTTGCCTAAAGAAAAGTGAATTGCTTAAAATTATTAGAAGAATAGGAGAGATTAAATCTTTACATACATTTACTTTGAGAACCCTTCAAGACCTGAGGTGATGTGAAGATTTTGTCTGACAGTTGTTTTGTGATACCACTTTAAGTAATATTAAACAATTGTATGTCTTTGTGGATAGGGTCTTGCTCATTGGTCTCATATTTCCTTTGAGGTAATAGATGAAAATGCTTAATTAATTTGTTTTTTGGGGATATTTGCTTTAGCAGCAGAATCAGATTTTATCATTTATGGCAGACATATTGATAGTAAAGTCCCAACCAAATGCCCCACCTATCATCTCCTCCACCTCCATTCTTTTATTACCTATTGTTGATAGAAAAACATAGCATTGCACTTGTATATTACACACAATACAGACAACCTGTCTTTCTATAAAATGCAGTCTATGGATGTACTTATGAATGTTCTCTGGTCACTGAAAAGATGTGAACAACATTAATATTTTTTTAAATTTCTAATGGTTACAACAAGGAATGGCTTGTTTGATGAATATGATAATGACACTGATAGTTTGATAATTATAAGGAATGTCTTATTGTTTTGATAATTATGAGGAATGGCTCATGTTTTGATAATACTGTCAATAGTGTTTTTTTAGCTCACCGTGAGCTTTTGTGATCGCTTTTCGTCCGGCGTCCGTCCGTCGTCTGTCCGTAAACTTTTACTTTAAATGACATCTCCTCATAAACCACTAAGCCAATTTCATCCAAACTTCACAGGAATGTTCCTTTGGTGGTCGCCTTTAAAAATTGTTCAAAGAATTTAATTCCATGCAGAACTCTGGTTGCCATGGCAACCGAAAGAAAAAACTTTAAATATCCTCTTTTAAAAAACCATAAGAGCTAGAGCTTAGATATTTGGCATGAAACATCTTCTAGTGAGTGTCTACCAAGTTTGTTCAAGTAAAAGCCCTGGGGTCAAAATTGGCCCCGCCCCGGGGGGTCATTGATTTTCCCTATATGCATATAGTAAAAACTTAAAAAATCTTCTTTTAAAGAACCCAAAGAGCTAGAGCTAAGATATTTAGCATGAAACATGTTCTAATGGGTGTCTATCAAGTTTGTTCAAATAAAAGCCCTGGGGTCAAAATTGGCCCCGCCCCGGGGGTCATTGATTTTCCCTATATGCATATAGTAAAAACTTAAAAAATCTTCTTTAAAAGAACTCAAAGAGCTATGGCTAAGATGTTGAGCATCAAACATGTTCTAATAGGTGTCTACCAAGTTTGTTCAAATAAAAGCCCTGGGGTCAAAATTGGCCCCGCCCCGGGGGTCATTGATTTTCCCTATATGCATATAGTAAAAACTTAAAAAATCTTCTTTTAAAGAACCCAAAGAGCTAGAGCTAAGATATTTAGCCTGAGACATGTTCTAATGGGTGTCTACCAAGTATGTTCAAATAAAAGCCCTGGGGTCAAAACTGGCCCCGCCCGGGGGGTCATTGATTTTCCTTATATGTGTATAGCAAAAACTTAAAAATCTTCTTTGAAAAAACCCAAATAGCTTTAGTTTAGATATTAAGCATGAAACATCTATAAGTAAATATCTACAAATTAAAGCCCGGGGGTCAAAACTGGCCCTGCCCCAGGGGTGTCATTGTTTTTAACTATATGTGTATAGTAAAAACTTAAAAAATCTTCTTTTAAAAAACCCAATGAGCTAGAACTTAGATGTTTAGCATGAAACATCTTCTTATGGGTGTCTACCAAGTCTGTTCAAATAAACAAATAAAAGCCCTTGGGTAAAAATTGGCCCGGGGGTGGGGGGGGTATATACAGGTGAGCGACCTCAGGGCCATCATGGTCCTCTTGTTAACATGTTCCACCAGTATCCCTCTAATTAACAATGGACTGTTCTGAATTCAATGGGGGACGAAATCCATTACATAAATTGAGTATGTTATGTGTAACATAATTGTTTGACTCCACACTTGAAAACAGGATATAAACAGATGTGACATTGAGATAATAAAAGTATAAGTTATAATAAAGTTCCTGTTACTGTAGAGGAGTTGTAATCACCAAGGCTAGTTTATTTTATACAGTTATAACTAATATGCTTGTTACTTGATTTCCTGTGATGTATCTTGTGATCAAAGTGTCATAGCAGTCCAAATAATAAATGTCATCAAACAGTGTATAGACTGTTTACAAAATTATACATCTCTGTGTTAGTAAGTTATCCAAAAATGTTATAATATGACTGTTTGCTGAATTTATGAAAAAGGTGACCTGATTTTAGGTTCATTAGAGTTGGTGTGATTTATAACCAAACACAAAAAAATCTATTTTTTATGTTACTTGTTTGTTTGTTTGATTGGGTTTTACGTCACACTGACACAGTATAGGTCATATAGCGACAATCCAGCTTTACCGATGGAGGAAAAAAAACGAGTGGCTGAATATTTGATGGTTTTATATTGCAACTGCAAACCCAACAATTTTATGTCTTTAAAGTTACAATATATTGCAAAATTAATAATACATGTAGCTGTTATCCTTCTTACGGTTATTTTTGGTGTTAACAAAAATAAATTTGTGAAAATGAGTCATAATGTAAATGTTTAGTCATGTAAGGAAATATCACACATCTTACATAATTTGTTTTTCTATTCCAGGGTATGGAACTATTGCTATCAGAGTTGTATTGAAGGAAGTATATAAAAGATACAGGTGAGAGAGCTAAGTGATTGATAATTTTACCATGGAGAATGATAAACTTACCACGGAGAAACATAACTTTACCATGGAGAATGATAAAATAACCATGGAGAAAGATATACTTCAGACAGAGTTCAAAAAACTTACCATTGAGAAAGATAAACTTAACATGGAAAATAATAAACTTAACATGGATGAAGATAAACTTACAACGAAAAATGATGGGAATAGAGTTATAGATAAAGTGAATGGAGCCTTGACTGGAAACATGCAAAAGAAAGAAAAGGAAACCTCAGATGACCCATTTGTACATGAAGATAAAGAAAGTTTTGATGGCAGGAAAAAATCTAAAGAAAGAACTAACAATGAAAAAGCCAATGGGGCTTTGACAAAAACAGTGAAAGCAAAACATGTGAACATGGGGGATAAAACATCATCAGATCATGGTGAAATGACAGCACAGAAACAAGCACCCTCTTATAGTGAAGCAAATTATCTGAAAACTCTAGAGTGGATGGAAGCAAGTTCAAAAGAATCATTTGAAATCTACAGCCGAACAAAACGTAAGTTATATGATTTACACAATAAACCTCGGGCCAAGAATTACAGTAAACACAAAGAAATAGCTTATGATTTTTCAAAAAAGAAACCTGATGTTTATTTGTTGGATACATCAAAATTCAGAAGTGATGATATTGGAAGTAACACTGACAGTTGTGAAAATTTAAGGTCTGATTTGCAGACCAGTGATCTAGATGATAATGTCCCTCGGTTGACATTGTTACAACTGTCTAAATCAGCTGAAACTGGCAATGTAAATGAAGCACACAAAGCTGGTTTTAGAAATGAGAAACCGATTCCAGACAATGTTCCACCTCCCCCACCTCTGTTAAGTCTTGACAGATCATGCTCACTGCCACAGGCTCCATTACCTCTTGAAAGATCATGTTCACTGCCACCAAGATCCTTGACAACAAGTGAGTCGCAATCAATCCCTGTTCCACCGCCCCCACCATCCATTCAATGGCGACCACCTAATCAAAGAGGCATTGTAACAAGGAGTCCGATAGTCAGACCAAAAACAAAGCAGTCTGATCTGACTGACGCTGAAGAACAATCACCAGGAACAAGTAGTAATCAAGAGAGTGATGATGATATTGAGCTAGAGGTAGCTCGAGAAGTGTTTAGAACAATGATAGGCAATGTTCGGCCATTTATTCCGATGGGTGAAAACGAGCCAAATCCAGACAGAATGCAGTTGGAGGAGCTTCAAACAGCAATCATGGATTTAAGATACCTTGAACAGGCCATGTTTGAAGCAGATGAGTTCATGGATCTTGACTTTGATGAATTTGGTGGTTTTAATTTTGAGCTTCCGCACTTCAGTGAAAAGAGTGTTGAACCTTCTTTTGCAAGAGGCGATGAAGTCATTACTGAATGTTTGATATGTTACGATGAAGTGAAGTTGCATAAGCGACTTTGTTGTGATTACCCAGCCTGCGATAACTGTATGGAGCAGTACATAGAAACTAACGTTACACAAGGTGTCGTGAAAATCCCATGTCTCGGTCATGAGAGCTGTAATGCTTTTATATACAGAGATGAAATTCTCGGAAGACTTTCAGTTCCAATGAAAGATAAATACTATAAGTTTTTAGTCGACGCTAACAAAGATCCGAAGGTCAAGACTTGCCCGAGGTGTAGCAATATAACTCAAATAACAGACGAGCAATCAGAAAAGAAAACAAAGTATGGCCTGTTAATCACATGTTCAGAATGCCATTTTGATTGGTGTTTTGAATGTCAGGCACCATGGCACAATGGGATCAAATGTAAAGAGTTCAGAAAAGGGGACAAATTGGTGAAGTCATGGGCAAAAGAGAAGCACTATGGCAACACAAATGCACAGAAGTGTCCAAAGTGCAAAGTAAGTCTATATTTTTTTAATCTCTTAGACTATATGGTTTAATCTCTATTTACCAAATTGTTCCTAATATTTACTTTATTTGTGATTAAAGTAATACAAGAGGGTCCCTTGGCTTAGTGGTTAAGGTCAGTGCTATTCACTCCTACAGGCTAAAATCATGCCATTGACATTGGATTCTTTTATGTTAGTTATAGGCCTACAGCTAGTATTATCATAATGGCAACAATAATTGATTTATGATGTTCAAGTTATTGATCAGTTATGAAATTTTGGGCCACTTGCTAATGAGAAATAAAACAAAATTTACAACAAGTGAAGTACCAGAAATTTAACAGGTCACATGTGTGTATACACATATACACATAATTGTGAGCCTTATTCTCATCAGTGGAACATTATAATTTACCATACTGGGTATCTTTAATGGACTCGCCTTTCTTTCAAAAATTTAATTTGGACAAAACCATTCATCATTTTTAGGGGAAATTTCAAAATAAAATCTGTCAGACTGAAAAGAAAACATTGCAGGCATAGTTGTGCTGAAAAATCTTTGTCTAAACTTGTCACATGGGTATTTTCAGTAGCAGGGAGCAGCCAGAAGGGTTATTATCATAGATATTACTTTAATTCTAACAACAATAATATTATTTTAGTATCATAGATTTTAAAAGTGTAAAACGATGGGTTATATTTTAGCAATCTCTTTTAGTTATAGTGTGGAATGTGAAGTTGGGTTTATTAAAAAGTTTTGCATCTGAGGGATATATTGGATACGAAAAATAATTATTACTTGTCTAAGCCACCATGTTGTGACAGGCAAGCCTATGCATCACAAGTGTCTTCTGACAGACTCTCATTTTTAGCACACATATAAAGGCCGCACTGGCCTCCACATTAGCCCAAAAATTCAAGAAAATCAGATTTGAGAAAACTGACCTAAGATATTAAGAAAAGTAAAAATATTCACAATGCAGGTAATTATTTACATGTTATATGCAGTGAATGACTTATTTTGCAGTATTAATCACCATATTCTTACTGGGTGATTAACGAAGCACGAGCTATTTTTCCATGTTTTGACCTTTATAATGGTTATTTACTTGGATGGAGCGTGCCATTTGCAATGTTTAAATTACTTTCTTATTGTTCACTTGACAATATTTTATTTATTAATACATTTTCAAAATTTTCATGAAAGTTGGCATGAATCTGGATACATGCTGCTAACTTTAATAACATATTTAAAAACTTCCAAATTAATTAAAGTCCACAATACAGATTTAAAGGGGCCTAGGAGTAGAGTACAATAAAGACATGTTTTTATCTAATTTTACAGATTTTTATAGAACGCAAAGGGGGATGTGATCATATGGTATGCCTGAAATGTGACACAGGTTTCTGTTACAAGTGCGGAGGTCGGTACCTGGATATGAAGTTTTTCGGGAACCATCTGAGTCGTTACAGTCCACTGGGATGTAAATATAACTTTAAACCGGACAAGCCGGTGCTGAGGAAACTGATCAGAGGATCCGTGTTTGGTAAGATAGGTTATATGGAAATTTTAGAGTTGTTATGCAAGGGGGGTAGAGTATTTGTCAAAATGCATTCAGGACCGAGTCACACATGAGGTGATAAAGTTTCGGTTTCTTACTCATATCTATAATTTTTATGTACATGTGTACATCTGTTTTAATTTGGTTTTTGTCTTTTTATCTAAGTCTGAGGTTAGGGCAATGTTGATACAGTCTGAAGAAAATCCTTTAATATTCATTGGAAGCTATTAAAAGACCTCAAATAAGATTTCTGTAAGAACCTTAAAGTCTGCAATGGCATTTTAAGAATTTAAAGTTGATTGTTTTTTGTACTGTTACTTATAGTGATTTCTCTTTTATTCAGTTGCTGAAATAATTGCTTATCATCTTTTATAACTTTATAAAACAATGGCACTCTGCATGACTAAATGGGAGAAAGGAGTTGACATTTATGGAAACTCAGTATTTAATATGGAAAACAGAATAATGTTATACAATTACAAAATGTATATTGCTAAAATCAAAGATATAGAAAGGAGTAACTTGCAAGAATTTAAACCTACAATGTCAGAATAAGTTTCTGACTTTGTTTCCCTTGAACTGGCATACTTAAAGGGTATATAGCTATTTTTCATAAAATGTTTTTATAAAATTCATAAGTGGTAAAATTTTGATGCTTCCATAATGGTAGATCCTTGTATTGAAAGTCTGAAACATTAGTTTCATTGAAGTAAGGTTTATTTTTTAGGGGCCAAGCTTCTGGGTGGAGTGGTGTTGGTTGGGCTTGGAGTAGCTGCGGTAGGGGTCCTGTTAGGGGCCAGTGTTGTTATACTTCCAGCATTCGGAGCATACAAGTATCGTAGGCACAGAAAGTTCAAACGGCGACAAAAACGACAACAGGAACTAATAAAGAACCGGTCCAAGAATGCGATAATGGAGTTGCATCGTGAGCGTCCATGTATGTTAACCAATTTTTTTTGTTTGTCTATATTCAGCAATGTGAATGAAAGCTGAAGTTTTCTGGCTGGCAGCATTTTGTTTTTGTATACTGATTATTATGTGAATGCAAAAATACAATAGTGAACTTTATGTATAAGAAGTAGTAATTCAAAGTTAACTTAGATGAATTGTTTAAATACACATCTGTAAAATTAATGCTTGTTTATAATAAAATAAGGAAATAGATATTATATACATATAGATTTTTATTGAGTCTTTATCATTCTATTTATGCACATTATTGTTTTTGCTACAATAGACATAATTATATCAAACAATGTTGATTTACTTTCCTTAAACTCTGTTTCAGATATGCTTGACCCAAGGTCACTTCGAGAACGCGAGAGTCTTTGGGAAACTCTAGGTAAATAATATTATGTTATACCCTTGAGTAAAACAATGTGAAAAATAACAATTGAATATTTATGACTCAAAATGAAGTACATTTGTGTAAATGCTATTTTTGCAATGTTACTAATGTCTGAAAATAGATCAGTATGAAAATAGAACAGAAATTTGTCATGTCATGTGACTTCTAAAAGTAGAACAGAAATTTGTCATGTCATGTGACTTCTAAAAATAGATTAGAAATTTGTCATGGTATGTGATGGTAGTACTGATTTTAAAATGATAAATGTTGTATTATAATATATTAGTAAATAATATCATGTTAGCACACTTTAAAGAAATATAGCTTTAATACATTTAAAAAGTTATGGTAAACTTTAATGTTTGAATAAATAAATGGTGGGAGGTATATTTATAAACCTAGACTTTCTTTAGAAATACATAAAGGCTGTGCACTGATAATAAAGAAAATCAAATACTAGGATTGGTAAAGGGGAAGAACATAAATAGCAGGGAAAACCCCTATTAAGAATTCTTGTTAAAATGATTAGTACATGCAAAAATTACTGAAAGGATTCCAAACCAAACTTTCACAGAATGAATGTTATCAAATGGTCTTATGTGAATACTGGGGATTTTGTGATTTAAGATGTAAACCTGTTTTTGTGACAATACATGTTATCTCCAGAGTGGGGTTTTCCCCGTCTAATTCTAGAGTACAAACAAACTTTATATTGTTAAATCTTCAATGTGCACTACTGTTCATAAAAGAGTGATCAAACCATTGTGGTTATTATTGATATACATTTATTTACCAAGTTGTAACTGTACAAGTTTGTTTGTACTCCAGAATTATAATGTGAACAAAACATATTTACAGGTTTTTTTAGTATCTCAATTTAAAGTTTTGTTTTGATAATAGATATTGAGATTTTTTCCCTTAAATAATAATAATTTATGACTTAGATTCATGCAAAGAATATATATTGTCAGGGTTTACATCTATTGAAAACTGTGATTTACTGGCCTTGCAAAATTGTACCAAAAAAGAATAACATGGGTAAGAAATGTTGCCAATTTATGTTGTCTGATAGAGCCAAATTAATAAAACTTAAGCAAATGGCTAATATGGCCAGTGTTTTTTGTAAACACTTCCCTATCCTTGGTTTGTAAATTGTTATGTTTTGCCTATCCTTGGTTTGTCATGTTTTAAGATTTATTATTTTTTGTTGAAGAACTACATAGATTTTCACAAGTTACATTACGATAAGTCTAGAGGTGAGATGATCAATCCCTTTATTGGTTTTACAATCACCTGTCAGTGAAGAACTGTTAATTACTTTTCACAGCCTATATACATGTTTTTGGCAATGAGTTTAGGTCTTAAATTAACCTGTTCTACAATTTGTTTCTGATAAAATCTATTTATTTATTTATATGTTTATCAGTGAAGTACTTAGCAAATTTTTACACCTCTGACTCTCCAAGTGAGATTATAAATTTACATGTACATAATAAATGGAAAAATTTTGTGTGAAAACTTACAAGAAAACAAAAAAATATTGAAATATTATAATCTTGTAAACCTAAGGGGTATTAAATGAGGCTCAAAACATATTATTTATTTAGACAATTTGAATGAAATTAATTATAAAATCATAAAATTTAATTATTTACAAAGAAACAATATTGTTGTTTAAAGAAGTAGGTACCTAATGGGAAATTTTAGTTGTTTTTTTTTACAAAGGCAAAGAAAGAAACTTTAAGCTAGGATAGAGAATTTTCTTAAACTTAGCATGATTTAAGAGAATCGTGATTGAAACAAATGGAAGAAAATTTTTTTTGGGGGTTTCCATAAAACCAAACAAAAAATCTGCTAAGGTAAGAACATGTTACATCAGCATTTAGACGATAGACGTTTTCCGGAACTCGGCAAATGTCCCTAGCTAATCTGTAGTATAAACTAATTTTTACCGTTACAGCTTCACGTTGCACTAACCGTCACAATAGATAAGTCAACCTATTGCGCTTATTAACGAAGCTGTAACTGTAATAGTTTGTTTGTACCTACGTTATCAGTTGGGAAAACCCCGAATATTCTTAATTCCAGAGTAGGTCTAAATTTTGTAGTGTTCTAAAAATACTCTCTGGGTTTTAGAAATGAATCTTTTATAAATAGTTGGCAGTTAAATGTCAAGAAATTGCTAATATGAAAAAATATTAAAGGTCTGACTGAAAATGTTTCAGGATTGCTGTGATTGAACTTGTTCATGGCAAGCAGTTGTACTTTTTAACAGAGTTATGTCCCTTTTCTTACTATCAAGCAGTGAGAATAGTAGAGTGCACTGTTTACAGACAGCTCTTGTTATTCCCTAAATTTAAAGTCAAGCACCTGCTTTTCCACATTTGTCAAAACACACTGAAAATCCATAAAAAAAATGAGGAAAATTCACTATTCTTAAGACCAACTTGTGAAAAAATTGTTTTCTCCTTAAATCAAAGTAGAAACCCATAGAACTCAAGAGATACTTTGAAAATTTTTAGCTGACCGAAATTATAAATAACAAAGTGCCGATCACATCAATGCACATATAGAATACAGTTACTATACCAGGACAATATGCAGACAATCATGTCCATCAACTCAAGGCAAACCGGCTTTCCTGGATAAATAATTTGTAAATACTGATCTCTCTGTGTAAGTGACTGACATCTTTTCCCATATGATTTCTGAATCAACATGCAGAGACATAAGACTATTGTACATTCAATAATATGTGTTCAAGTTAAAGAAATACAAATATTTAGGGTTTGACCAAGTTCTATACCCAAAAAGCCCCATTTCATATACCATTTAAATATCGATTGTTCTCAATTTAGAAATATTTCACCTGAGATAAGGTTTGCTTTGCTAAAAGTTTTTTAAGAGTCTTTACTTAAAACTGTAAACAATACTTGCATGGTAATATATTATAATTGCACAAAATGCTTATGAAATATACGGAAGAATATCATATACCGTTCTTAATATAGAGACAAAAGAGGCATTCTGATTGGCTGATAAACATTGATGTTACAAGTCTGCAAAAACAACATGTAGACAGGCTAGAGACGGTTGATTATATTCTTTCAAAAAAACAAAAAACATATGCTTTATGACCATACACTGTATCTTATAAGAGTTGGCCATAGAAGAAAATAACGTAGAAGTCAAGGAAAATACTACTGAATTGATTTTAAAATCTAGATTCAGGTTTTAGAATTGATCTGTTGTAATAGTGGATCGTCATCATGAATGTGCAAGGGTATGCAGTAGAACTTTTACTCAATTTGTTTATATTGAAATGTTTGGTTTTTGCTCTTTTTTTAGTGAGAGAAGATGCTATAAGGAGGTCCTCTAGATTTGTGGGGAACGACACAGTACATATTGGAATACAGGTAATAATTTTACAATAGACAATATTAATAGACAATATTGTACCCTGGAATATAGGTAATAATTTTACACTTTGTGATGGCATTGTACACTGGAATAAAGATAATAATTTAACAATTTATATTTCATTTTGACAGAATTATGGCTATTTTTGAACTCTGAAAATTCTACATAATCCAGGCCTCTTGTTTAACTATCAGGCACTGAGAATAGTTGAGCACACTGTCCTAGTGACAGCTCTTGTTCATTTTGTATTATTTTTACATAAAGAACGAGTATTGATGAGTTTTTTATAATATGAATTTTTCTGTATGTCACTCTGATGTTCTTAACGCATTCAATATTACAGACTGGCAAGTCTCAACAGGTTGATGTTACTGTTCATAATCCATATCAGCCAGATGCATTGGTAGCTAAGGATGATCAGCAACAGAGTTCAGAAATAAGAATGAATATCACGGATGACCGCGGTCAAGTGACTGTTACAACTGCAGAAATTTCCCATAATTCCACTGCAGGAGACGGCTCCGAAGCGGAGATAGTGCTTCATGTCAAAACATCTTACCCAAAAAATGAGAAAGAGGCTAAGCCCCAAATAGTTGAAAAAAGTGAAGCAACTCTAAGTACTGAATCACACTTTGAAAATTCAGACGTTACTAAGTCTGATCTTGACACTAAGGTTGATGTCAATGATTCAAGTTGTTCTTCAAAACTTTCATCTACCCAAAATCCTTCAGAAGTCAGACCCACGTCTGCTCAGGTTCACAGGAGAGCTCACTCTACAGGAAGTGTGAGGAAGAATTTGAAGAAACAGGACTTTGGGTCTATTTCCAGAAAATGGAGATTGAAGTCCTTATCCAGTAGAAAAACAAGTGAAAGTGATTCCACAGAGTCTTCTGCACAACTTAGTCTAGATCAGCCAGAAAGCTTGAATATATTAGAGAATAACAAGCCTCCAGTTGATATTGATGAAAGTTCAGATCCTGAAAATCTGACACAGTCTGGGTGTTTTTTGAAGCTTCTAGGGAAAAAAATAAATACATACCAGATTCAGATTGAAAAAGAAAAGCAGCTTGCATCTAAATCAGACTCCAGTTTAGGTGATAGGTTGAATTGCCCAGATGTAGTGTCCTGTGCCTTAGAAGCAGAAAGGAAAAGTAAGGAGAATTTAGAAAATGTAGGTCAAGGTCAAACAAATGTTAAGGTTGGTCAGAAAGATACCACCGCTGGTGTTGTTCCCACTGAAACTGATTCAACTGCCTTGTAAGAAAAGGTTTTCAATCGAAGATATTATTTTTAACATGGTATTGTAGATATTTATAGTATTTATGTGTATATCTTAAGCTAGCTATAAATTGAGCTACATGTTTAATTACGCAGCATTGGTATCATATTAATATTAGTGTTGTTTTGTCTGCGTGCTTTTAACCAACATTGGTAATCACATCTCCATACCATGGCCAAGTGGATATGGTTGCTGACTTAGCTTACCACTTGCTCTTCACTGCTGTGGGTTCGAATCCCACCAGGAACTTTTTTGATTCTTAAACATGTGGAATCTATTTGGCTGGCTTATTGTGAGACTTTAAACCTATCCAAAGCAAACTACAAAAAACAACAACAAAGAAACATGCATATAAATATGACTGTACTTCAATAAGTAAATATAACTTAAATCTTTTGAAAAGTTGCGGGGTATGGGGGTTATAAGAAGATTTGGGTCAGGAGCCTCTTTGTTCTATAAATTATTCATTTACCTGAAGATGATTTTGTAAAAAATATTTTTTTTTTTGGATGTTTTTTTTATTTTGGAAAATAATCTTTGTTGTTTGAATTTATTACTTAATTAGTTATGTGATTTTTGCTTATTTTGTTGTTGTTGTTAGTTTTATTTAACAAAGAAAAAACAAGATGTGATTTATTTTGTGCAATTAACAATGGATATTTATTGTGCTTATTAACTTATTTAAAAACTTTATGTTAACTTAATAATCATGTTTTTTTTTGTTTTTTTTTTATTGAATTTTTCTTTTGAAATTAATTTATTTAGATGTTAAGATAAAGGAAGGATATTTTATTTATAGAAACAAGAAGGAATCTTGAAGACTTAAAATATCGGGAATCTGGACAATTCCCTTCCAAATTATTATTAACAACACAGACATTTTCACTCTCATTATTTTTGCAGGGTGGACAATTCCCTTCCCTTTGCTTTCTTTTGAGCCTGGACAACTCACTCTTTAATATTTTTATCAGAAAAAAAGTAAAGTAAAAGTTTAAAAAAAAAAAAATGTATTGATCTCAGTAAGTAATACCTTTATAAAACATGATTAATTTATGTTCTAAACATGCATATTTAATTAACTGGTAGGTGACAATTAAAGGTCTTAATTCATCCAAAAGAGACATGAAAATCTGCCACACTAGGTCAATAAGAATGTTAGTCTTAAAATCTACATTGGAGGGGAATTGTTGGAAATTCCAGTTGTCAGGGTAATCTAAATGTATTTCTAAATTTTGTAACATGTTAATTTTTTTTCAATATCTCCACTTACAATAGATCTATTCTGAAGAATATTGTGTCACCTTTTCTCAGGTGTGAAATGTTTATTCAGCCTCATTCCATTTGCATCTGTGTTCACTTTATTTCCTTGCTCTTTTTACATTTTGTGTTGTTGTTGTTTTGTTTTTTTCTAGAAAGTGTACCTGGTAAATTTTAATGCTGTAGCACTTGGTATTTTTTATAATGTTCATTTTAATGCTGTGTCAATTGCTGTGTTTCTTTTCAATATAATGGAAGCCAGTAGCCAAGTGCTTAATGTTGCCAACTTCAAATCACTTACCTCTAACTGTTATAGATTTGAATACCGTCACAAACTGTAGATTCTTTCATGTGCGGAAAGCTCTTGAACTACCTCACGGAAGGTCGGTGGTTCTACTTAGGTATCCGATTGTGCCTGAAATAATGCATGGAGTGGCACCTGAGGTCTTATTGACCATCAAAGGTGTATAAATTTACCACATGATCTTTACAAGCAAATTGATAAGATAGTGCACAGTTTAGTTTCTGTTCTTAGCTCTTTGGTAGATGGTGTGACTGGAATAATATAGTCATTTTCATTTTGTGCTTTTGTTATGTAGAAAATAACTAGTTAGAAAATAACTGGTTGAAGTTTTTCGATTTTAGTTGTATGAGTGGGCATTGATATTTTACTCATATCTGCCGTGTATGTTCATTTTTTTCCCATAATTTGAATCTCATAAAAAAAAAAAAACATTAAAAAATATAATTGAAGAAAAAAAATTAAAAGAAAATTTTTTATTGAAGAAGAAAATTTACCTTTTTTTAACAAAAGAATTCTTAAAAAATTTGCTCTATGTATATTATTATTAAATTTTGTTTTCATATTACTTGCGTTTTGTTTCCAATTTTAAAGCATTCCATACTATCTATATACAACATATAGGAAAGAAATGTATAAAATGATGTGATATTATAAAAGTCATTTCTAGTCTGGGGATTTAGGAATTAGTTTTTTTGTTTTTGTATTTAAGCTGATACCATCGACATAAAAACTGGCAAACGAAGGCCTTTATTACTATGTAACAAAACATGAGGGATATTCACCGATTTTTTAGGGTTTGTTTGATATTTTATAAGGGAGACCACTGAGACTGGACAGGAAATACAAAATGTAGTTTATTTACGATTCTTCTTTCATGTGATGCAGGTCTAGACCAATAATTTGTATTCAAAATTTCAGATCATTAGCTCACTCTTTTTTTCCCTTTTTTTCAGAATGATAATTTGAATTGTAAAAAATGTCTCAAAATTGAAAAACTTGGCAATGCTTTTTACTCGAAATCAGGCTAAGATTAACACAAAATTATAATTTTAATTGATTTCTGGGTATATTTCTTAATTATCTTTAATTTGCATATCATTTTGTTTATGTGCCCTAGTTGATATATGTGAGAAATTCAAATAGATCACAGTGGAGTTCCTTTAAGTATTTTATTTTTACATTTATAAAGGCTTAGTTATTGTTAGAATTATAGCTAGCTCATTGACAGAATATTCATTAATGTTGTTACTACTGTCTAGTGAAGTTGATTTGTGTGTGAAATTATGAAGAGTGTAAATATGTTTCTCAAAGTCAGTAGAACAGCAAGGTCAGAAAGGTTAGGAAAAGAAACTGTAAGAAATATGTTAAATTTGGATTTTCATAATTACAGCAAAATCATAATTACGCTTGGGGCACTAATTGTTGTGATTTTTGTCGATCCACAAATTTAAGATGTAACATGGTTTTATTTCATCTGTTATTATTTTTGCATAACATTAATTGCAGCTTACTATTTGAAATTGTAGTTGGTTAAAAGTGATTAATCTGTAAGCTGGTTTTTCTTGGAGTGAGAAAAAAAAACATCAATTAATTAATTAATTTCCTGGTTTCATGTATATGTACAAACCAATGTTGTAATTGTATTGATTGATGATGAAACAGAGGTTCAAACCACTCTGTGTAGGGTAGTAGGGTTAAATATTTGTTTTTTATAAAATCACAGTGAATTATATATTGTTTTAGATTTTAGAAAATTGTGAAATGTAAATTTAGGAGTCAGTCATTGGTGGAGAAAATGGTAAGTACTGGTTGTTTATCCAGGAAAGCCCACAGTATATAAACAAAATCACTGTACCCTGCCTTTTGAGCCTATATAATTCAATGTGTACCCTGTCTTGTGAGTAAAATCACATGCTACTTCTGATCTGTGTACCCTACTTTGGAGCCTATATATTTTAATTTGTGCGATAACAGGAAGTAGACTTGTTTATTTACTGTGAAATCGGTTAGATGGATCAGTTGACAAGATATGACCAAAAATGTGTTAGAATTGTTTCAAAAACAAGAGAAACCAACAAATCAAGTAACATTGACACTAAGTGTCCACGCATATTTTGCTTGTAAGGTATCAGTTTTCCCCTATATGTGTTTGTAGCATGGTAGAAATGGCAGAAATATGCTCTGTAAAAAAATTGAAAATTCCTTCATAGTTTGTGTAAAACACATGATGTTTATGTACAAAATAACAGATAATGGTACTGCATTGTATAATAGAGACGCCAAAAGACAGAGTTTTAAACTGTAATGAGTTTCCCATTTTTTTATATTTTTTCAAAAAAAGTATTTTCCTTGTATACATTTGTGTTAAATTGATTCTTGCAGTATATTTTTGTTTTTCTTTAAGAACAACAATACTCTGAACAATGAACTTCCTTGTGACAAGTTTTCTTTTATGAATATATCATTAGTGCTGTGACATTTGAATAAAACAGTGTATGTATTCATATTAAGCACAAAGGAAAAAAGAAAATAAAGAAGAATTTGTTTATAATATAACTATATACTACTGAAAATTGATGGAATAGAGGTACAAAATGCATTACTCATTTATCTTATATAATACTGTGATGTTTTTATTTTTTACTTGCAAAATGTTAAAGAAATGTGTGAATACTAATGGATGTATATTTGATTAGAAAAAACAGTGTCATTTGATAAAATAATGATTTTATTTGATATTTTTGCAGGACAACATTTATTATGAAGTGAACAAACAGAGTCACATTTCTTATGATTCATTATATGAAATGTATTAGATATGTAAGAGACTCTTAACAAATATGCTTTTAGATTGAATATATTCTACTACGTAATACGTTAATATGACATAACTATCAATTTTAAAATGTCAATATCATCGCTGTACTAGTAATATATTTTACTTTGTAACTTGTTAATATGACGTACCTGACAATTAAGAAATGTCAATAATGTCCAGTGGCTTGGATATATATGGTCTCCTACTTGGAATCATTTGTACTTTACCGATGTTTGTTCCGATTCCATCTTGTAGAAGGTTTTGGATGCCATTTTGCTTTAAGACCTTCTTTTGCTGAGTTAATTATTGAATTAATTGTACTTTGATATTTGTGATTAAATTGAAACATGCATTTGGTTATTTCCATTTAATGAATATTGATCTGTTGTTTTTTTAGCTTACATGTCACAAAGTGACAGGGTGAGCTTTTGTGATCGCTTTTCGTCCGGCGTCCGTCCGTAAACTTTTACTTTAAATGAAATCTCCTCATAAACCACTAAGCCAATTTCATCCAAACTTCACAGGAATGTTCCTTTGGTGGTCACCTTTAAAAATTGTTCAAAGAATTTAATTCCATTTAGAACTCTGGTTGCCATGGCAACCGAAAGAAAAAACTTGAAATATCTTCTCTTAAAAAACCCCAAGAGCTAGAGCTTAGATATTATGCATGAAACATCTTCTAATGTGTGTCTACAAAGTTTGTAAAAATAAAAGCCCTGGGGTCAAAATTGGCCCCGCCCCAGGGGGTCATTGATTTTCCCTATATGCATATAGTAAAAACTTAAAAAATCTTCTTTTAAAGAACTCAAAGAGCTAGAGCTAAGATATTTAGCATGAAACATGTTCTAATTGGTGTCTACCAAGTTTGTTCAAATAAAAGCCCTGGGGTCAAAATTTGCCCCGCCCCGGGGGTTATTGATTTTCCTTTTATGTATATAGCAAAAACTTAAAAAATCTTCTTTGAAAAAACCCAAATAGCTGGAGTTTAGATATTAAGCATGAAACATCTTCTAGTGAGTGTCTACAAAGTTTGTTCAAATAAAAGCCCTGGAGTCAAAATTGGCCCTGCCCCGGGTGTTATTGATTTTCCTTATATTTGTATAGCAAAAACTTAAAAATCTTCTTTGAAAAAACCCAAATAGCTAGAGTTAAGATATTAAGCATGAAACATCTTCTAGTAATTGTCTACAAAGTTTGTTCAAATAAAAGCCCTGGGGTCAAAATTGGCCCCGCCCCAGGGGTGTCATTGGTTTTAACTATATATTATATGTATAGTAAAAACTTAAAAAATCTCCTTTTAAAAAAACCCAATGAGCTAGAGCTTAGATGTTTAGCATGAAACATCTTCTTATGGGTGTCTACCAAGTTTGTTCAAAATAAAAGCCCTTGGGTTAAAATTGGCCCTGCCAAGGGGGGGGGGATGGAGGAGGGGGTAGATTGTTGTTTTTCATTATATGTGTGTAGTAAATTTTAACATCGTGAAATATCTTCTAATGGGTGTCTTCCAAGTTTGTTTAAATAAAAGCCCTGGGGTTTAAACTGGCCCCGCTCCGGGTGCCTTTATACAGGTGAGCGACCTCAGGCCCATCATGGCCCTCTTGTTTAAAGTTTTGTTTTGAAGAAATCATGCATTTGAATATTTTGATTTAAAGAAATTAAGCTTCTGGTAACTTGGATTTCATGATTGTGTTTTGAATAATTTAGTTTAATTGCTTTGTATTGAATAATTCAAACTTTTGATTTTGTTTTGTATTGAATAATTCTGGCTTTAGGTAAGATTATTATATTTTGAATGATTAAGGCTTTAGTTTGGATTATTTTGTTCTGAATAATTCAGGTTTTGATTTTTTATGTTGAAAAATTCAGGCTTTTGTTTGGATAATTTTGTTTTAAATATTTCTGGGTTTTGTTTATTTTTAGCTTTTTATAAATCATTTTTTGAAAAAAAGCTACATTGAATGTAGGCCAGATATTTTAAAAATATTTTGGGGTTTGTGACCTTAAAACTGCTTGAAGTGATGATATTGTAGACTTATGCCACCTGTTCGTTCCTGGTGAGAGCCTGCAGAGAAAGGTCAGTCTGCACTTCCATGTAGTCTGAACAAACATTATTCTGTTTGCAACTGGATTATTCAGGTTTTTTGACAATACTGCCTTACATGAGTGGATATTTACAGATACTTTAGGGTTTGTAATCCATTGGCGTTTAAAGTTACATTATTGATTGGAGTCTCTGTTTAACATTTTTTGTTACGTTTTTATTATCATCTCACATTTTTTTCTTGTGCCCTTTTAGGTATTGCTTGAAAATTTGTGTACTTGTTTTGACCTTGAACCACACTTTTAGGTAAGAAGCTATAACTCTGTAAAGAATTTTGATCAAATTAATGCCTAACTTTTGACTTATAATTAAATTTTTTTGTATTTCATCATTTATTACCTTTACCCTTTAAGTTAAAATTGACTCAAACTGTCACAAATTTAATACATAAACTGCCGTTGCCTTTCACTGTGTTATAACCTACAGTAATAGACATAGCTTTCATTGTTAGAACTGTAATTCTCTATAAGCTTTAACTCTTCACCTGCTGGAATCAGAAATGATTAGCCTCTATATAGAAGATATTGGATGAGTGTAAATTCAATATTGAATTTATTGAATGAGTTGAATCAATCCAGTTATGAACTAACACAAATATGATATTCTGTTTATCTCATACCCAAAATAAAGTCAGTTTTTCATTGACGTGCTTATAGTGTAATGCTAACATTCAGCATGTTTTTACGCTATATTTGTATAATCCAACTATTATGTAAAATCAAAATTTATGCACAGCCGTGCATTACCATTGTTACGGAGATGCAAATAGCGACATGGGCCTGTGATAAAACACTATACATGTATTAGCCTCTATATAGCATGTTGGTGCAGTCTGACCTGGCTTTCAGAACTTGTTGGCTGACTTACTTAACAAAGTTTCATCATGATATTTAGTCACTTCCGAGAATGGTAGATCGACAACATTGAGTCCATTAAAGAAATTCAGCAGGTAAAGGGTTTTAAGTGTGATATTTGTGATATGAATACATGTATTCTGTTGTGCAGTGACTGCAAAATATAAATGATTATACAATGTATATGTAAATCAATGAATCTCAATGTGTTAGTATCTTATAGGCCCATTATGCCTCGCTATTCCATATATATTAAATTGTTTAGAAATTTAAAAAACATGTGTTAAAGAATGTTTTTATAATGGATGTAGAGCATGTTAGATGTTTAACAGTTGAGGAAAGTCACATTGAATGTGCAGTTATGTGTCATAATGGTATCATTAGACTTATCCATACAAAATACTAATTCATTATAATTATACCATTTGCCAACAAAGCAAAAGGAGCAAAGATAATGTCATGTTATGAAAGACATCATGTTATTTATCATGTTGTAAATAAATCATGTTCTGAATATTATCATGTTTTCAAAGTATCATGTTTATCAATAAATCCATCATTGAAAGTATCATATTTCAAAACATGTTCTGAAAGCTTTTTGTTAATATATCTTTTTATGAATAAATCCAGTGAAAGTTTCATATTTTGAAAACATGTTTTGAAAGTTTCTTGTTATCTTGTTAATGAATAAATCCAGTTATCATGTTTATGAATACATGTTTATAAATATATCATGTTTATGAATTTATCCATTGATGAAAGAATCATTGTAATAAAAATTTAATGTTTTGAATATATTATGAATATACTGTATTTTGATAATACAATTTTATGAATAAATTATGCTGTTAATATGTTATGATATGAATGAATAATGTATAGAAAATATCAATCAATTTATATGAAAGTTATGTTTTGAAAATATCATGTTATGAATGAATAATTGTTTGAATATATTGGGTTTTTTTTTCCCATACATTATGTACTGTTATTGTACTTATTGTGATATTATAAATTATTTATTGTAGTCTCTGTGACAGTCTCATTTTCAGTGCAAAAAAATAAAAAATGTATTTTCCTTTGCAATATGTCTTACTTTGTTTATTGTTGTTTTTAAGCCCCTCTTTCCCCCGACCAAAAAGAAGCAAAAATCATATATTTGCAATCAATTGTATATCAACTGAGCATATTGTGGGCGGAGGCATGCTATTGTGCCCTTATAGGTACTATATACTGACCACAGTTGAGACTTTAGATAGTCCTGTCGGCTGTTCCTGTCTAAAACTTAAGAAGTACCAGTAATGCGAGTAAAAAAGAGATTAAAAAAATAAACATTTCACTTACATTTGACACATTGTTTGAAAAATTATTGTGTAAGGCACAATGCTTAGACATGGTAAGTCCAATCCTCGTGAATCATGAAGTGGCATGATGCTCACTTTTTCTTTGTTAAGCTGAATGGACCTATCAGGTCGTGAGTTATTTATCATTCATACAAAGTAATTTCAAAATAGAAAGAAATTATGGCAACATGTAAGCTTATTTTGACTTTCACCTGTTCACTCACTATATACCCATATATAAAGTGTAATTTGATTGGTAAATATCTTGTGTTGACAACTTAATTACTAGTATCTCACTCGCACCACATTGTAACTCGTGCCCACAACTTAATTATCTTGTGCACACAACTTAGTAACTCTTGGCTATGACATAGTATGCTGTGCACACCACTTAATTATCTTGTGTGCACCACTTAGTAACTAGTGGCCACAACATAGTATCTCATGCTCACCACTTAATTATCTGGTGAGCACAACTAAGTAAATCGTGGCCATGACATAGTATCTTGTGCGCAACGCTTGATTATCTCATGCGCACCACTTAGTATCTTGTGGCCAAGACATGGTATCTTGTGCGCAACGCTTGATTATCTCATGTGCACCACTTAGTATCTTGTGGCCATGACATAGTATCTTGTGCGCAACGCTTGATTATCTCATGTGCACCACTTAGTATCTTGTGGCCAAAACATAGTATCTTGTGCACATGAGATAAATAAAAAAGCACAAATGTCACCTCTGTGCCACTGTATGTAATACTTTAAGTTTAACAGGCAACTTTTTTAGCAATGTCATGATTAAGGATATTTGCTTGTTCTTCACATATATGTTTTGGATCATAATGGGAAGTTATTTTCCAAGGCCCATAAATCTAGCATGAAATTTGTCAGAATTATTGCCCTTGGTAAACTAAGCAAATTCTTTGTTAAAGTTTTGTATGCTGCATCAATCTTCAAAACAACTAAATATATTCACTTGAAACTTTATACATTTCATTGAGATCACTGTTCAAAGTTTATAATTGTGACATGGAATTCATTAATGTATGGTCCTTTGTGAAGTAAGCGAACTCTTGGTTAATGTTTTTTCATATAACTTAATCTATCAAAACTACTGAAGGTTTTCACTTGAAACTTTACACATGTCTTTTGTGATAAAATGAAGGTCACTATCCAAACCCAATAATTCTGACATGGATTTTGACTGAATTATGTCCATTGTGAACTTTACAAACATTTAGTACTATTCAACCGAATTTCTGTATACCGAATAACGGAGTTTAAACTTGATACAACAGCAGGATCTAATTAGCAAAACTTGCGTGTATAATATTTGAATTAACCAAACATTTTGTTCAGCTAGAGGTATGAAACTGTTAAATATATACCATTAATGACAGAAAAATTGTATGTAAAATCATTGAAAGTGATTTAATACCGTATGAGATCCTGTATTTTATCCGTATGATAGCTTTGTAGTCGGATATGCAAATAATTCGGCTAAAACAACTTGTTTTTATTATTTCCAATAAATTTTACAAATAAAAATAACATGAATTTACTATTTTACTGTTGCATCTTGACTTTGAAATACACTTCACTCACTTGTGTAAGTTAGAAACATCAATTTGTGTAAATTAGAAACCTCCATTTGTGTAAATTAGAAACATCAATTAGACATGTTTTGATTTTGAACAGGTACTTAAAGGGAGCGCAGGTGTTTGGAGCATTGGTTGGCCACTACACCCAATAAAAAAAGATACATATATATTTAGTAAAAGCATGCATCTCGCTGCTCAATTTTCAGCACTTAACATCATATATGGCACAAAAATACAATTATTTTTCACCCCCTCATGACATGGGATACAGGGTTACACAAGGTTACAGTGGGATACAGATTAATTTTTACACTTAATTTTCCTAAAGTTACAATTTCTGGTGAATAGTTATTTTTTTTTATTTATTTCACAAAAATATTGGTTTATATAATCTCAGAATGAAATTTTTTCTAAAATGAAATATATATATCTGTAATCAAAACAACATTACTAAGTCCGCGTCATTTTACTGTAATGGCATATTTTCATGTGACCAGTGTTAACATTTGTCAGAATTGACAAAGTTTATTCATACACCTAAACAACAAAGTTATTATGCAAAATACTTTTAATTTCTACAGCAACCTTTTACAAATTTCTGCAAATAGCAACTATTAAAAACTAGTCCATTAAATGTGTGCAATTACGTCTAAACTATTATCATTTTCTAAATGTTCTTATTTGTTGAAAAAATAAATTTTGAGTTACAAAGAAAAGATAGTGTTACAGGACGGACAAACGGACACGCAGTGATCACAATTAATGTCCGAGTTATTTACCCAGGTTCATTTAAGATTAAATTGAAAATTCAAATAAGAAGAACATAGGCATTTCAAAGTTCAACTGTTTTATTGCAAAATAGATTTTAGAGAAGTTGTTTCTACGTTAAATTACCAAGAAATGAAAATATAAGTTACAAAAAAACAAACAAACAAAAAACATCATAGGGAAAATAGAGAGAAATGACCAAGTCAGGTGATAATAGGTATACGCTACCTTTGGTATCTGTAGACAAGGCAATAAAATCACCTCTGCAATCACACAATTCATGAAAAATGCATGACTTGAAAATTAATAGCAAAAAGAGGAATGTTACAAAATATTGAGTAAACGATATAATGAATCAGTATTTTGCTGTTACATACAAATGTATTGAAGTGTATTAAGTTAAATTTAGTGAACAGCCCTCTATTGGATAAAAACCTTACATAAGAATTAAGATATGACTAGCAAGAATATCATGAAACAATGCATTAAGTTATGCTTACTGTTACTATAGATAGAAAAAATAGTGCCCGCTGAATGATTTTGAAAAGATACCAAATGTATTGACAATTTATAAATAAGGCTATTTAAGGAAAATATTCATTATGTAATAAACTACTACCTTAAAAAGGCAGTGTTCCCAATTGAAAATAGACATTAAAATTCCTAATTTCCAATGTTTAAATTTCGTGTTTCATTTTATTTCTTGAATGAATTTATTGTTGTATTTGCAGATCTAGCATTGATCATAATTTTGGACTGAAAGTCCTTAGATCCATACCTCAATCTTTTGAAATAGCACAATTTTATGCTTCATATAAAACTTCCCCGAGGCGGGGGACGTTGGTAACTCTGTTACAAATTCTTGTTAAATGATATGATGCAGTATAGATACATAAATATATTATATGCAGCGTTTTTTTCTCTGTACTTTGGGAATGGTGCCGGTACGAGACTGATTGGGGAAAAATGTGTTATTTTGACTTAAATTGGGAATTTTTTTATGCATTTTTCAGCTACATGTACAAATAAGATTAGTCATCCTGAATAAAGACAGCTGACAGCTTCCACTGTCCAGTTAGAACTACTGAGTGGTGATTTATTTGAATATGTTTGATTTAAACTATTTCATAGAAATCTCTTGGTCTTGTGGGAATTTTGAACAGCCATTTTGGGAATTTAAACATTGGAAATTGGGAATTTTAATGTCTATTTTCAATTGGGAACACTGCCTTTTTAGGTTAGTACTACACTAGTTATATAAAGAAAAAAACCACACTGAAATGCCAGGTAAAACAGGTCTCTATAGTCTGAATACATTTATTTCATTTCTAGGTATAAGAATGTAGACTTTAAAAAAAACAACAAATACCATCATAGTGTCCGAACTGATTTCTACATAAATTGTAATGACCGGAATTATGCCTGCCAAGTCTGATATATCATATAATGCTGGAGGAGTGTTCTGCCAATATAGAAACATTCTATCAATAAAACTAAGAGTTTTAACTGATATATGGATGGACTACATATCTGCAAACATCTTTTTACCTCATTATTTTTTCCCTGATCATCCAATCAAATTTTCTTTTACAACATCTTGTCCAAGTCGATTTGTCAAAAAGCGCCCGGATGTACCCAGAGCATAAATTATCATAAAATAATCAAATGAGCTGTGCACCCTGTGTCATGTGGTACCTTCCATTTATTATCATTCAGTAATCACCAAACATTGTCTCATTAAGTTTTGGTTGGAGATTCAAGTAATCTGATATAAAGGGATACATGTATAATATAGAAAAGATATTAGTTGAAAATTAATTAAGTTTGATGTAAGAAGGACACTGATTTTTGATGCTACTAAAGGTTGAAAAGTCAACGCCCTAATATACACAAATTTCATTTAATGAATTACAAATCGGCTGAAATTTCCACCATTCTGAAATTTAACACAGATTTTTAATTATCAAGCATAATGTTCACTTTTAATAACACACATCTTTGTTATTTGATGTTTGAATATTCTTTTTTTTTCTCTTATTGTTTCTGTCAGGTAATCCCTTTAGAGCCAAGCAGATTTGAGTTCTAGAAAATTGACTTTCTGTATAAGGTGAAATAACCTTACAAAGATGACATCACCAGACTATGACGTCATCAAGGATATACCTGGCTACAAGGTCATTCTCAAATCTGTCCTGAAAAGTCAAATACAACAGCTGGTATGTAATAGTTATAATTTAAATATGTAATTTCAGTTTTTTCTAAGGTGTTGATTGCATGAAATTGTTTTGTTTACTATCTATGTTTCAAACATATAACTAGTTTTTCTGTCTTATATGTGAAACACACAAATAAAACGGGGCAGGGAGATGGTTTACTCTCTTTTTCTATGTGATTTACAAATGTTAATAAAAGGGACAGTTTTAGCTAAAATTCCCTATCAGATATAACCATAAAAATCTGAAATCAATGAGATTGTACAGATTTTGAAATTGTTATGAATGTATACTGTACAACATAAAGTCATACAACCTGATGAACTTAAGAAAATTTAATATTTGACTTTAACCAAGGAAAGTATTTTGTTTTTTCTACACAAGGTTGAACAGCTGGCTACCAGTACAGAAGAAGAATCTGTGATTCTGACGGCCAGTGTGGCAGATGGAACACTCAGTCATTTAGGCTCCCAGCTTGGTAAAGGCTTCCTCGAAGATCACGAGGACATAAAATCTCAGTTCCTAGGCTTCTGTCTCAAAAGTAAGTGTATAAGCCCAGGGCTCATTAACACAGTTTGGGAAAGCAGCCCGCCCTTATTTTTTGGGGAATATTATACAGTTCTATGATATATTTGCAGTAGGGGAAGAAAAAAAAAATGGATGTAAATTCAACTTTTGGGATGATTTTAAAGAAATTTTCTTTCTGATAGCTTCCCTATAACTGCCCCTGCTAAAGAAGGAAATCTATAAAAGTGGAACAAACAATCAATACAGAATAAGTTTTAGGGTTTATTTATTGATGATAACCTACATTTTTACTCTCTTGAGTCTTCATCAGGGTTTAAAATATCAGAGAATAAAAAAAAGCCATTATTTGTTTAGTTTGATTTTTTTTCCAGAATTTCTCACAGTATAAAAAGGATAGGTGAAAAACATTACTCGGCAGCACATTTGCTTCAGTAGTTAGTTTGTTACAAGTATATGTTTATAAATTATCAGTTAACTCAGCAGTGTTTTCCTTATGAATCATTGATACCATATAATGAACCCAATCACAAACGCTCCTTCACAATTTTCAGAATGGGTCTGATGGACCACAAACTAAATCAGTTAAGCTTACAATTTCGTCTTTTTCCTTATCTTTTTCTAAAAATATATTCCAGTCAAGTTGCACATTGCAAACAAATCTGATATAAAAACAATGTATTAAATCCATTAATATTGTAACAGACGAAAATGCACTCAAAGAATGGTAGTCTTTGTGAAATACCTGAAAAAGAATCACTTGGGTAATCCAAATGAGTACTTGATGTTAGAAAGAAAAAGAACAGAAAAGATAAGAATCTTCAAATAGTATGTAAATTTTCATTTTTAAGAAAAATTTCACATTTTGCTATTGTTTTACACAATTTTCACAGTACTAGACCCATACACAATATAGGGAAAAATGTTGTAACTTATAATGTAAAGTGAGTTTGTGATCTAATGATTCTAAGTAGATAATTTGTAGATTTGAAACAAGTCTAAGAAAAATGATGATTTGTCGGGCTAATTCCCTTTGTAAGTTACATTTAGACATGTCCGACCAAGTGAAAGATAACTTGATTGAATAGTTATATGGTGAAAGTTAACACTTTTTTTTCCATAGCACATTGTGCTTTTTTAATTGTGGCCACAAAATGCCAAATCATGTTGAAAAAGATAATTTCATAAGATTTCATCATTTGTATATTTTTTCATAGTAAATGAATTTTTTCTCAAAATTTTGAGTTATGAAAATGACAGTATTTAGTGACTTTATTAATATCATGAAATTGATAAAGTGACATGTAACCAAGAACTATTATAACGAATTTAATTACATGTACATAAAATAATGAAATTCTTTTAAACGACCTTCGTCTTTTATTTTTTTGTTCGAAAATCAATTCTCTGTTGTTTCAAACTAATTATGCCCCCCTTCGAAGAAGAGGGGGTATATTGTTTTGCTAATGTCGGTCTGTCTGTCTGTCTGTCCGTCGGTAGACCACATGGTTTCCGCTGATTATCTTAAAAAGTATTTATCACAAAGTCTTCATATTTCACATAGTGATTGGTCATCACTACTAGATGACCCCTATTGATTTTGGGGTCACTAGGTCAAAGGTCAAGGTCACAGGGACCTTAAATGTCAAAATGCTTTCCGCTGATTATCTTGAAAAGTATGTATCACTAAGTCTTCATATTTCACACAGTGATTGGTCATAACTAGTAGATGACCCCTATTGATTTTGGGGTCACTAGGTCAAAGGTCAAGGTCACAGGGGCTTTAAATGTGAAAATGGTTTCCGCTGATTATCTTGAAAAGTATGTATCACAAAGTCTTCATATTTCACATAGTGATTGGTCATCACTAGTAGATGACCCCTATTGATTTTGGGGTCACTAGGTCAAAGGTCAAAGTCACAGGGGCCTTAAATGTCAAAAGGGTTTCCGCTGATTATCTTGAAAAGTATGTATCACAAAGTCTTCATATTTCACATAGTGATTGGTCATCACTAGTAGATGACCCCTATTGATTTTGGGGTCACTAGGTCAAAGGTCAAGGTCACAGAGACCTTAAAATGTCAAAAGGGTTTCCGCTGATTATCTTGAAAAGTATGTATCACAAAGTCTTCATATTTCACATAGTGATTGGTCATCACTAGTAGATGACCCCTATTGATTTTGGGGTCACTAGGTCAAAGGTCAAGGTCACAGGGACCTTAAAATGTCAAAATGGTTTCCGCTGATTATCTTGAAAAGTATTTATCACAAAGTCTTCATATTTCACATAGTGATTGGTCATAACTAGTAGATGACACCTATTTATTTTGGGGTCACTAGGTCAAAGGTCAAGGTCACAGGGGCCTTAAATGTCAAAATGGTTTCCGCTGATTATCTTGAAAAGTATTTATCACAAAGTCTTCATATTTCACATAGTGATTGGTCATAACTAGTAGATGACACCTATTTATTTTGGGGTCACTAGGTCAAAGGTCAAGGTCACAGGGGCCTTAAATGTCAAAAGGGTTTCCGCTGATTATCTTGAAAAGTATTCATCACAAAGTCTTCATATTTCACCTAGTTATTGGTCATAAGTAGTAGATGACCTCTAACGATTTAGGGGTCATTAGGTCAAAGGTCAATGTCACATGGGCCTTAAATGTCAAAATGGTTTCTGTTGATTTTTCAATGATTGAACATTTCCATGTACCCATTTTTGGCAAGTTTCTGTGATAAAATTACCAATTATGTGAGTCAATTGCTAGAAAGGGGGTATATGTGTCGTTCGACATTCTTGTTATTTTAGTAATTTTATCATGGAAAAGTGCATCATATCCCTGTTAAACCTTCTTCAAAACAGCATCCAGAGAGTTATTTATAGCATGCTAATGACATTCCTTTCTAAAAATAGAAGATCGGGAAACAAATCATCCTATTTGCTAATTTTCATATAGAGAGTGGTCTGGTAGATTTTATGTATCAAGGGGTTGCCTTATTGTTCGTTAGCACAAAGTGACAGGGTGAGCTTTTGTGACCGCTTTTCGTCCGGCGTCCGTCTGTCCGGCATCCATCCGTCCTTCTGTCTGTAAGTTTTTACTTTAAATGACACCTCCTTATAAACCACTAAGCCAATTTCATCCAAACTTCACAGGAATGTTCCTTTGGTGGTCACCTTTAAAAATTGTTCAAAGAATTTAATTCCATGCAGAACTCTGGTTGCCATGGCAACCGGAAGAAAAAACTTAAAAAATCTTCTATTAAAGAACCCAAAGAGCTAGAGCTAAGATATGTAGCATGAAACATCTTCTAGTGAGTGTCTACCAAGTTTGTTTAAATAAAAGCCCTGGGGTCAAAATTGATCCCGCCCCAGGGGGTCATTGATTTTCCCTATATGCATATAGTAAAAACTTAAAATATCTTCTTTGAAAAAACCCAAATAGCTAGAGTTTAGATATGAAGCATGAAACATCTTCTAGTGAGTGTCTACAAAGTTTGTTCAAATAAAAGCCCTGGGGTCAAAATTGGCCCCGCCCCAGGGGTGTCATTGTTTTTAACTATATGTGTATAGTAAAAACTTAAAAAAATCTTCTTTTAAAAAACCCAATGAGCTACAGCTTAGATGTTAAGCATGAAACATCTTCTTATGGGTGTCTACCAAGTTTGTTCAAATAAAAGCCCTTGGGTTAAAATTGGCCCTGCCGGGGGGGGGGGGGCAGAGATCATTGTTTTTCATTATAATTATGTGTGTAGTAAAAACTTAACATCATGAAACATCTTCTAATGGGTGTCTTCCAGGTTTGTTCAAGTAAAAGCCCTGGGGTTTAAACTGGCCGGTGAGCGACCTCAGGGCCATCATGGCCCTCTTGTTTATTTTATTGGGGGCAAATTTCATTTTTCACCTTTATTGTTTTGATTTGAGAATTATGTGTAACAATTCATAGTAAAATAACATATTTAAACTTTAGAAAAGCTGAAGGTTGCTTTAAATTGTAATGAAAATTATGATTTAAACAACTTTAAGAGCCCAGAAATTTGATGTATTTTAATTGAAATGATCAGAAGTTTGACTTTGATTTCAGACCATCATAACAGAAAACAGGAAGAAGAGAAACTGAAGGCTGCAGAAGCGTTACAACAAAGTATGCAAGCACACCAAAATGTTTACACCAGGTCACCTGAAAAATATCTCTCCAAAATGATGACTTTTCAATCTCCTAGAGGTCAAGGTCCTCCTCCAGTGCACCCAGTGGCGATGCTTAGGTCATCTGCAATAAGATCCACTGGTGTCAGGTATGAGCCTTACCGTCAAACTAGACCGCCAAAGAGACCGTCTATAAACAGTGGCAGAAATCCGGTTCTTGATTCAAGTTTCAGTCCTGTGAAGGATGATGATAAAATTGTAGAACAGATAATTAAAATAGAACCTACTAGTGATAATGAATCTAATGAACAAAGTGAAGTTGATGTGTTAAATAGCAAAACTATTGACAATTCAAAAGTATCAGCATCCCATGAAACGGATGCCACACAAAATATGAGCTCTCACTGTGCGGATAAAGAGGATGATGCTACATCTGAAACTTCTAACTCTAATTTACATCACGAACAAACTTCGGAAGGACTTGGATTTGATTCCGATTTAACAAACGTGATCTCAGGATCTGATCAAACTCCGGGAAGTGAGAATGATCAGTCTGATTATGTTAAGATGGAAGCAATAAGTGAAAGTGAACTTGAGTTAGAGATTACAGGTGTAGAGCCAGGTAGACCAGCTGTTTCACAGGAGAGCTGGGATCCAAATATATCGATTGGAATGAATTATGACAATACTCAAGGTGCTGCAGGGAACCAGGCTGACCTCTCATCTCAAGGTTACAGTAAGTGAACTTTTGTAATAACTTTAAAGGCCATCTTTCTCTGCATTTCTGGCATATTAATTGTTAAAAAATTCCCTCAGATTTCAACTTCAACAATACATACAACAAGGTGTATTGTTTATCCGTCATTATAGGAGTCACCCGGTGGTCGGTCGGTTGGTCGGTCGGTCCAGCGGTCTTGCATTTTTCTTGTCCGGAACATAACTTGAAAACTACTGGTTGGAATTGAAAACAACTTCATACAATTGTCAAGCACAATAAGGGGAAGTGCAGTGCACAGGAACCATAACTCCATCTTGACTAATTACAGAGTTATTGCCCTTTGTTACTTTTCCATTGCTTTTTTTGTCCGGAGCATAACTTGAAGACTAATGGTTGGAATTCAATATAACTTCATGGTTAAGCACATTGAGAGGAAGTTCAGTGCACACAAACCATAACTCTATTTTGACAAATTACAGAGTTATTGCCCTTTGATACTTTTCCTTGTCCGGAGCATAACTTAAAACATACTAGTTGGAATTCAAAACAACTTCATACAATGGTCAAGCACAATAGGAGGAAGTGCAGTGCACAAGAACTATAACTCTGTCTAGAGTAATTATAGAGTTCTTGCCCTTTGTTACTTTTCCATTGCTTTTTTCTTGTCCAGAGCATAACTTGAAAACTGCTAGTTGGAATTCAAAACTATTTCATACAATGGTCCAGTATATTGAGAGGAAGCGCAGTGCACAGAAACCATAACTCTTTCTCAGGGTTTCTACTAGGAATTTTTATTTAAGAGTCCCAGGGACTCATGCTGACATAAAATATGAGGGTCCCAGAGAAAAATATGAGGGTGACCTAATCATTTATTACTTTAAAGTAAGGTATTACTTATATATATTGTCTAGGTTTAATTCTTTACATTTATATACATTGTTCAACTACATATGCTTTTTTAAGGTTGACTAAATCCTAGTGTGCGCCGTTTTATTCCGTATTTAACTGTAATTAATTGAAAGAAAGATATCTCTGCTGTATTCAATATTAGAACCCGTCTACCAAATTACATCATTTCCTTTAAAGAAGCGGCAGGAATTTCCAAATGACATTTACGGAGGAAAATTTAATTTGCGTCCTTAGAGTAATTGAGGGTCCTAGGTAACTATTTTTGCGTCAAGGATGCAGGAAATGTGCGTCGATAGAAACCCTGCTTTCTTGACTCATTTAAAAGTTTTTGCCCTTTGTTACTTTTTATTGTCCAGTGCATAACTTGAAAATTAATGGTTGGAATTCAATGAAACTTTATACATTGGTCAAGGGCAGTGAGATGAAGTGCAGTGCACAAGAACCATAACTCTATTTGGACTAATTACAGTTATTGCCCTTTGTTGCTTTTTTGTCCAATGCATAACTTGAAAATTAGTAGTTGGAATTCAGTACAACTTCATACAATGGTCAAGCACAATAAGAGGAAGTGCAGTGTACAATAACCATAACTCCATCTTCAGTATTTATAGAGTAATTGCCCTTTGTTTCTTTTCCTTGTCTTTCTGGACTAAATATAACAGAGTAATTCAATAAAACTTCACCAATGGCCAACAACATGGAAAGGAAATGCAACATACAAGAGCCACAAATATCTTTAATTGCCCACAACCATAACTGTATTTCAATTCTTTAACAAGGTATTCTGCTACTAGTAACATCCTCATGTCTGAAGCAGTCTTGCGGGGGTATTAATCACGTTTAGTGATAGTTCTAGTTTAATATGTTGGCTCAAAAAAGGTTGTTTTTTTTCTTTTTTAAATGAAATATTTTTACAAATTTAAAAATCAAATTAAACTCAGAATGGATTGAAAGGTGGTCTTTAAGATTTTATGAGAAGAAAATCAACATGGAGATTTATAAAAATGCAAAACTGTTTTATAACTTCACTTGCAATTGATGTAGTTGTTGTCAATGACTAGGGTCACCATTAACATGGTATGATGGAAGAAAAGAAAGCATTCATGCTTAGTATATGTTTATAGTTTAAAACCAAACTTTCAAAATTTTGATTTGCAAAAACATGAAACAGATGTTATTATCATTGGCTGACTGCTTCTTTGATTTTTGTGGTTGTTAACTTAGTTAGCGGGAACAGAAAAGCAAATAAAATATTTTAGGCCTCATAGGGTCTTTCATACTCTAATCTATGTTGATTTTCTTCTACAATATGCAGAATCTGTTTCTTTAGATGGTTTGAAATTCTCGACTGTTTATCATTGTTTAAGCAGCATTCCTCCAGATTCATAGTAATTTTTGTGAAATTTAGATGTCAAAAAAAAATTGTTCAAAATGTGTAAAAGTGTTCTCAAATATGTAGCCTAAAGTAATTACTTTCTGCAACTATTATTTTCATGTAAAAATATCTATCTGTTAGAAAATGGTTGCATATATTTCGATAAATAAATAATGAAGTTTATCATATTTTGCCTAAAAAAATCACTTTGAGTATTTTAACTTTTTTTATGCCCCCACAATGTGGGAGCATATAGCGTTGCACTTGTCCGTCCGTCTGTCCGTCCGTCAGTCCGTCCGTCAGTCCGTACGTCCCGAAATCTTGTGAACGCAACTCCTCTTAAACCGGATGGCAGATTTTGCTTAAACTTACAGGGATGAACAACCTTAATGTGTAGATGGTAGTAAAGGAAGGAATTTTTGCTGCGACCAAATTTAACAGAATTATGGCCCTTTGTTGATTTTTTCACTATATACTATGTAGAAATTTTGTGAACGCAACTCCTCTTAAACCGGATGGCAGATTTTGCTTAAACTTACAGAGATGAACAACCTTAATGTGTAGATGGTAGTAAAGGAAGGAATTTTTGCTGCGACCAAATTTAACAGAATTATGGCCCTTTGTTGATTTTTTCACTATATACTATGTAGAAATTTTGTAAACGCAACTCCTCTTAAACCTGATGGCAGATTTTGCTTAAACTTACAGGGATGAACAACCTTAATGTGTAGATGGTAGTAAAGGAAGGAATTTTTGCTGCGACCAAATTTAACAGAATTATGGCCCTTTGTTGATTTTTTCACTATATACTATGTAGAAATTTTGTGAACGCAACTCCTCTTAAACCGGATGGCAGATTTTGCTTAAACTTACAGGGATGAACAACCTTAATGTGTAGATGGTAGTAAAGGAAGGAATTTTTGCTGCGACCAAATTTAACAGAATTATGGCCCTTTGTTGATTTTTTCACTATATACTATGTAAATTTTGTGAACGCAACTCCTCTTAAACCTGATGGCAGATTTTGCTTAAACTTACAGGGATGAACAACCTTAATGTGTAGATGGTTGTAAAGGAAGGTATTTTTGCTGCGACCAAATTTAACAGAATTATGGCCATTTGTTGATTTTTTCACTATATACTATGTAGAAATTTTGTGAACGCAAACTCCTCTTAAAACCGGATGGCAGATTTTGCTTAAACTTCCAGGGATGAACAACCTTAATGTGTAGATGGCAGTAAAGGAAGGAATTTTTGCAGCAACCAAATTTAACAGAATTATGGCCCTTTGTTGATTTTTCATTATATACTCTGTAGAAATTTTTGTGAACGCAACTCCCTCTTAACCTGATGGCAGATTTTACTTAAACTTCCAGGGATTAACATCCTTAATGTGTAGATGGTAGTAAAGGAAGGAATTTTTGCTGCGACCAAATTTAACAGAATTATGGCCCTTTGTTGATTTTTAGTTTTCAACTTGTGGCACATGTAGTCCAAAAAATATTTGACCTAGAGTCATAAGATTGACAGAACAGTGGCGTGTGGGGGCATCCGTGTCCTATGGACACATTTCTAGTTTTTTTTACTGTTAATATATTTTTCTTAAAATCATTGTTTTAGAGAATATTTGTTTGGACCTCTGGAGGCATGCTACTTGAAATATGTTTTATTTTTTATAATGAAAATAATGTTGTTGCATGTTTTAAGATGACTGCTATTTCACTCTTATGTAAGGTTATACCCAAATAAAGAAACTAAGAGGCATTTAACCCATAGCCTGCTAGTGGCGACCAACTTTACCCCATGCTGACCTAGATCAATCAAAAGCTATACTTACATGTAGCGTATGATAAAATATGACAGATATATTAATTTACAGCCATATAACCTGTCAAGAATCTTTATAATATTAGTTTATAATACTGCAAACTTGCTATATAAGAGAAAAAATGAAATTACTTCATAAATTGACCGCAGTGGTGTATATAGGATATATAAACACCTTGATTATCCAATGAAAAACAACGATACAAATGAGAGTATTATAAAAAATTCAACTGGAAATGAATATTGCCTTAAAATCGTCTGGTTAGCTCAATAGGTAGAGCATTAAAATTTTGATTGTGATTCGAAGGCCCAGGTTCGATTCCCTGACGGTGCTGTTCATTTTCAAGTTTTAGTTGTGATTGATCTTAAATCCTTTCTACAGTCATTCGCACTATACCCTCTGCTCTGGTATGTACAGAAATTTCAATTCTATGCCAAAGTGAAGGCAACTTGTACTGGTAACGTAGCTTGACAGCCTACCAGAGCTAACTGTGCTCTGGTAAATTCAATGTGGCTTACTGCCCGTGATCCGCAGAGAAACTACACCACCATGAACCTAATCAGTGGTACATTTGAACTAAACTAATCTAATTTTGTCTACACTGTTTTACAATTCACTTCCGTACATTATGCTTAAATTGATTGAGATCTTGTCTTTTCCCCGATTTTTAAAGCGAGGACAAGTCCTAGTATAAAGATATTTAGTTGGTTAAAGGGTTTATTTTGCAATAACACTGAGCTATTTTTTTCTATATTTGTCCCTCAGATAAAATGTCCTGTCAAATAACTTTAGCATAATACTTTAGGGCCAGGTATTGAAATATATTGTTGCTTAATATAGATTATTATGTGTTGTGTGTAGAATTGTAGTTTGAAAATTCAAATTTGTTTTCACATTATAATGATG